CATGACTCCAGTAGCTGAAAAACTAGACAAGCGATAAAACTGTGAGACTCAGCCGTGTGCAACTGTTTTACATCATTGCTAGCAATCAGAATTCCCAGCTAAGGCATGTTCGCTGGGCAGGGCAGTGCTGCTAGTCCCAACACCTGGGATTCTGGGAGCTCGGGCCCTGTCAAGGTGGGACTCTCAGTTCAGGAGGTGCAAGGGGAAATGGGTGTGCCATAGTTCACTGAACTAGTTTCAACTTCTGCTGGCTAAGGAGCAGCACTGACGGGTTCCACAGGGAACGCTGCCCAACCATCCCAGGAGCAGGAAGCTTCCCTGGCAGGGCCTTCTTCCTCCCCTCACCGCACCTCTCAACTCACCATCTCTCCACTCCACTCCTCTCTCGCGCTGCATTTCTTGTCCTGTCTCCTCTTCATTCCCATCTCTCCTCAGTGACGCAGGAGACAGAGAAGAGCATGTTCTCCACTCTCAGAACAGATGCCCTTGCTGTCCCAAAGCTTAGCTCCCCATATCAATGCTTGACCCTCTCCTGGCCTGAGTGACAGAGGTAGCAGCTGGAGAGGGCTTGCTCTTCCTGTGGGAAAGTTCCCTGGGAGAGAGAGAAAAGCCTGTTGGATGCCAGACTGTGTGAGAGTACATGGGGAAGAGAGGGTGGGAATATGGCGCCCCCTGCCCTTTTCCCATGGCCCCAGTCTTAGCTGGCAGCCTGACTGGCATTGGGTTATCGTCTAAAACCTCATGACGCTGAGCTTGGAGTATTTAGAGAATAAAATGAAATAGCAGACCTCCCTTTTAGCTTGTAGACTGGGATGCAGGGTGGGTGGGTAGAAGGGTGTAATTACTTTCATTCTTTGTCCTTCGATGGCTTTTTTTGCATCCCAAAGCACTTTACAAAGCTATTATCCTTCCCATTTTATGGGTAGGGAAACTGAGGCACAGATGGGGTTGAATGTCTTGCCCCAGACCACACAGTGCGTTATTGGCAGAGCCCAGAATAGAAAGCAAGTCTCTTGCTCTAATCACTGGGGAAGCTGATAAATCAGAGCTACAGTGCGCTCCATTTAAGGTTTAATCTAAAGTCTTACATAGCCTTATGGTCAAGATAAAATTGACAACTAATGGGATGCAGAGGGATATGTTCTCTGTAAGGATATTATGACAGTGTATCTTGCCCTTGTAGGTAGATGGACTGGGTAGGCCCTTTTCCTCTGAGAGTCACTGCAGGGTGGTAAAAAAGCCCGCAGGCCTAAACACCCACCATCAGAGAATTGGATATTTCAGAGGAAGGTGGAAGCAGCCGGTCATTAGGGAGAGGCAGCCTGGCCAGATCCAGTAGCCCTTCTCTCGTCTAGGGAGCTATGACTGAGATCTCCCTTACCAGGTCTGAATCATGAGATCCCAGGTTGAAGGATTATAGTCCCCAGCATGCGGAAAGCAGGCAGAACCACAGATTAGTTGCCCTGATTTCTGGATTTTACTCAGTCCTTACAGTCCCTACATAGGGACCAAGTAAACACTGGGTGAGGACTTCAGCAGCTGGCTGATGGTGAAGTGAGCTCCCTTTGGAAGCAGCAGTCATCACCACCTACCGAGGTATTAAATGTTGTATGACAAGTGTCAAGTAGATCTTCCCCACCCCCCTCCTTTGCCCAGGCAGAGCAGAAGAGGAGGAGGAGAAGTTACTACTATCCTGAAGGGAAGGGGATAAGGAGGAGTACTTGGCTCTTGGTTTTGCTGCAGCTGCTCCCCTTAGGAGTGAACAATTTATGGCCTTCCAGCAGCCCTCCTGCCATTGCCCCTTGCAGGAGGTGAGACATCCTGCCACTGCTGGGAGGGAGAAGGGTCTCTTTTGCCGGGCAGGCCTTAAAATGCCCTAGAAACTCTGTTTATGGTAAGCCTGTGGAGGAAGACACCCACACAGAGCTGTAACTAGGCATTTTTAGCACTCAGGACGAGCAGAGGTGATGTGTGTGTCGGGGGGGGGGGCACACAGTGTTACATGGCCCCCTAGATTTTTTTGGTTACACGCACACACACAGCCCCCAATGCCGACAGGCTGGGTGGCGCACTGAAGTGAGTCAGGGGATGCAGGTGGTACTCCCTCCCCCAACCCCACCTGGCATCGCCGCTCATCCCCCAGCATTACTGCTCACACCCCCTGAACATTGCTCTGCACCCCACCTCCCAGGGAGCACACCCCACAGTTTGAAAACCTCTGTGGGGCATAGGGTGACCAGATGTCCCGATTTTATAGGGACAGTCCTGATTTTTGGGTCTTTTTCTCACATAGGCACCTATTACCCCCCACCCCCTGTCCTGATTTTTGACACTTGCTATCTAGTCAGCCTAGTGGGGCAGTCACATACTCCCCCCAAAAAACCTTTAAATTATGCCCCCCCATCAACTGTTATATGCCATCAGTGGGGGCAAGCAAGCATGTTTTCCCACCACAACCACCTTTTTCTTCCAATCCCCATTTTTCCATCCTGCAATTTATGCCATGGATGGCTGCCCCGCTTGCCCCAGTTACAGCCCTGCACCTAGACATCTCTCTGAGGCACGTATTGTATCCTACTGTGTCCTTTGTGCTGCCTCCCAAGGCTATGCTGTGGGTGTCACTCTATGGAGTGTTTGGAAGAGTGGACTCACCCCTAGCACCCTAGTTTTGGGCATGGCCTAGCACCCCTGCCAAGAGCCTCTCTGGCTCTGCAGTGGTCTTCCTTCCGGCCAAGTTATGCTACTTCCCGCCCCTCCCACAGGGCAGGCAAAGAGTCCAATGAACTCAAATGTCACTCTTCACCCCTACCCAGGGGTACTCTGCCAGACTCTTCACCCCTTTCTGGCCTCTAGAGGCCTGTCCTCCCACTCACATGCAGAGCAATGCCTCCCAGATCCAACTCAACAGTCCTTCTCCCCCTGGCCTCAGGTGTTGCCACACCGCCTTTTCCAGTGGACCAGTAGTGAATGGAGCCCAGGCCTTTCCTCTCCTCTGACATGAAGACCAGCTAGCGCATAGCCAGATTTGAATGTTTGATTCCTCAGATGCGTGGCTGCACAA